CCTGCTCCATCTGACATTAAACTTATTGTGACAACTTTGAGCTTTCCTTGACTTTTAGCTCAAATGCACTAGTGTTGCCACTAATCCAAGGGCAGCTCTCAACTTCAATGATAATAGTTGCCAACATGTAGTGGTTTAGAGTGTATAAAGATCTGAATCTTTTTTTTTTTTTAAGTTTTTTGTTTGTTTTTGTTATAGAGCACATACGCTTGTCAGCGAGAGAAAAAAGAGAAATCCCCCCACCTGGGTAGCCGTGCTGCAATCTCTCCTCTGATCTCTTGGGATTCTGGACACACATGTACACATGCCTGGCATGATTTTCAAGCTGGCCATATGGGATCCAGCTACTTTATCTCCACACCACCTGCTGGCCCGACACTGCATTTCTAATCTTCACTGAAATTCTGCCTAAGAAACAAGACATATTGTCTCCATTTTATACTTGAGGAAAAACTGATACTAAGAATTTAGATGACTTATGTCAGGCCACGGAGGATAGTCACCTACCCAGAATTCCACGTAAGTGTTTAGTCCCAGGTGTGGTAGGCCCTTGCCCATCTTAGCCTCCAGTTAGGATATCTCCATTGCCCAGTAAGCCAGGAACTCACTAGAGAGTCTGCTTCTGGGTAGAGAGAGCTGGCACACCTATCCAGGTAGTTGGTCAATTTTGACTCAACTTGGGACCAGCAGTTAGCATAATGGCTATGTCGCTGGACTCCTATGTAGTTGACCACGGTTCAAGTCCCGGACCCGGCAGCTTAAACTCACGCCAGGTGCATGTGCATGCGTGCCCAAGATCCCAAGAGGAAAATGGAGGAGAGGGGATTGCGGCGTGGCCATCCCTGCCAAGGGTGATTTCTAGCTTTCTGTCTCTCTGCCTCTCTCTGGCAAGTGCATGCGCCCTTATAGCAAAAACCTCTCCAAAAAAAAAAAGAAAAAAAATTTAGACTCAACTTCAAATCAACTCCCTTGGGGCTTTTAGAATAATAATAATAACTAGTGTATATCAGATGTTTACTGTGTGCCAGGCCACTGTGTTAAGTGTTTTTATGTATCATCCTGTGACAAAACTATGAATGAAATTCTATAGCACGATTGCCCCCCATTTTGCAAGTGAAAACTGATGCTTAAAGTAACTCATTCAATATTGTAAGGCTGTTAAGTGGTAGAACTAGGATTGGAACCCCAGGCTTCTGACACTACCCAGTCATAGATGATCTTGGCCATTTCTTCTTGGCAAGGTTTAAGAAACCTGTCATTACAGCATCAGCTGTTGAGACTGCAACTGCCTGTTTGGAAGGGTGTCACAAATACCAATAGCAGCTGTCTCTGCCAGGTCTCATACACATACTCCCTTGATGGGTCTGCCCAGCAGAGATTGTTCATTACCTACCTGTGCTCCCCACTCTCACTAAGCTCCAGCCATAATGGCCTTTGTAATCCTTAAGTTCACCAAACTCAGTCCTTTGGCAATTTCAGTCCTTTCCTCCTGAGGCACTCTTCCCAGGTCTTAAGGGGGCTAGCTCCTGGATACTCCATGTCACCCTCACAGAGTAACCATCTGTGCCTGCTTTAAGTGGGCGCTCTTACTGTCACTCTCACATCTGTCTCTTTTACTTTAACGTGGCACTAATCACTTATCTTCATTTGTTTATCTATTACCTCTATTCACCCTTAGAAGAATGTATCTAGCTCCCTGGCGGCACAGAGCTTGCTTGCTATTATTTTCCTTTCTTTTCTTTCTTTCTTTTTTTTTTTCCGTAGGATGCATGTGCTTGCCAGAGGAAGGTGAGAAAGCCCCCTAGTGGGGATGGCCATGCCACAGTCTCTTCCCCTATGTTCTTGTGTTGGGATTTTGGACATACATGTATATAGGCCTGGAGTGTTTTTCAGGTCTGGGACTTGATCTGCACAATTGGCCATATCGCATTCATCCACTTTAACCACCATGTCACAGGCTGGTCCAAGCTTGCTCTTCTTAATCATAACTAGATCTGTAGCATCTAGTACTATATTTGGCACATAGTAGGTATATAATAAATATTCAGAAGCATTCTCGTTTTTCAGATTAAGGAAATACATTTCAGAGAAGTTAGATGACTTGAGTGATGCCACATAGCTAGGAAATAACAGAAGAGCAATGCAACCAACGGTCTATATGGTTAGTCATCACTTTGAACTGGAGCACAGGCAAGAACTTTTTCTTCCCCTCAGCTCAGACAGATCCTGTAGCAGATTCCTGCCCTGAATTCCTTATGGTCTTGTTCCTTATATCTGGTTTCTGTTTACAGATTATGGTGACAAGCTGAACATGGAGCTGGGTCTTGGGACCAGCAGTTAGCATAATGGCTATGTCGCTGGACTCCTATGTAGTTGACCACGGTTCAAGTCCCGGACCCGGCAGCTTAAACTCACGCCAGGTGCATGTGCATGCGTGCCCAAGATCCCAAGAGGAAAATGGAGGAGAGGGGATTGCGGCGTGGCCATCCCTGCCAAGGGTGATTTCTAGCTTTCTGTCTCTCTGCCTCTCTCTGGCAAGTGCATGCGCCCTTATAGCAAAAACCTCTCCAAAAAAAAAAGAAAAAAAATTTAGACTCAACTTCAAATCAACTCCCTTGGGGCTTTTAGAATAATAATAATAACTAGTGTATATCAGATGTTTACTGTGTGCCAGGCCACTGTGTTAAGTGTTTTTATGTATCATCCTGTGACAAAACTATGAATGAAATTCTATAGCACGATTGCCCCCCATTTTGCAAGTGAAAACTGATGCTTAAAGTAACTCATTCAATATTGTAAGGCTGTTAAGTGGTAGAACTAGGATTGGAACCCCAGGCTTCTGACACTACCCAGTCATAGATGATCTTGGCCATTTCTTCTTGGCAAGGTTTAAGAAACCTGTCATTACAGCATCAGCTGTTGAGACTGCAACTGCCTGTTTGGAAGGGTGTCACAAATACCAATAGCAGCTGTCTCTGCCAGGTCTCATACACATACTCCCTTGATGGGTCTGCCCAGCAGAGATTGTTCATTACCTACCTGTGCTCCCCACTCTCACTAAGCTCCAGCCATAATGGCCTTTGTAATCCTTAAGTTCACCAAACTCAGTCCTTTGGCAATTTCAGTCCTTTCCTCCTGAGGCACTCTTCCCAGGTCTTAAGGGGGCTAGCTCCTGGATACTCCATGTCACCCTCACAGAGTAACCATCTGTGCCTGCTTTAAGTGGGCGCTCTTACTGTCACTCTCACATCTGTCTCTTTTACTTTAACGTGGCACTAATCACTTATCTTCATTTGTTTATCTATTACCTCTATTCACCCTTAGAAGAATGTATCTAGCTCCCTGGCGGCACAGAGCTTGCTTGCTATTATTTTCCTTTCTTTTCTTTCTTTCTTTTTTTTTTTCCGTAGGATGCATGTGCTTGCCAGAGGAAGGTGAGAAAGCCCCCTAGTGGGGATGGCCATGCCACAGTCTCTTCCCCTATGTTCTTGTGTTGGGATTTTGGACATACATGTATATAGGCCTGGAGTGTTTTTCAGGTCTGGGACTTGATCTGCACAATTGGCCATATCGCATTCATCCACTTTAACCACCATGTCACAGGCTGGTCCAAGCTTGCTCTTCTTAATCATAACTAGATCTGTAGCATCTAGTACTATATTTGGCACATAGTAGGTATATAATAAATATTCAGAAGCATTCTCGTTTTTCAGATTAAGGAAATACATTTCAGAGAAGTTAGATGACTTGAGTGATGCCACATAGCTAGGAAATAACAGAAGAGCAATGCAACCAACGGTCTATATGGTTAGTCATCACTTTGAACTGGAACACAGGCAAGAACTTTTTCTTCCCCTCAGCTCAGACAGATCCTGTAGCAGATTCCTGCCCTGAATTCCTTATGGTCTTGTTCCTTATATCTGGTTTCTGTTTACAGATTATGGTGACAAGCTGAACATGGAGCTGGGTGAAAAATACAAGCTGGACAAAGAAAACTACCCAGTCTTCTACCTCTTCCGTGATGGAGACTTTGAGAACCCAGTCCCATATAGTGGGGTGGTTAAGGTTGGAGCGATCCAGCGCTGGCTAAAGGGGCAAGGGGTCTACCTAGGTATGCCTGGTTGCCTACCTACATATGATGCCCTGGCAGGGGAGTTTATCAGGGCTTCTGATGTGCAGGCCCGCAAAGCCCTCTTGAAACAGGGGCAGGACAACCTCTCAGTTGTGAAGGAGACTGAGAAGAAGTGGGCTGAACAATACCTGAAGATCATGGGAAAGATCTTAGACCAAGGTGAGGACTTCCCAGCATCAGAGATGACCCGGATCACCAAACTAATTGAGAAGAACAAGATGAGTGACGGGAAGAAGGAGGAGCTCCAGAAGAGTTTAAACATCCTGACTGCCTTCCAAAAGAAGGGGTCCGAGAAGGAGGAGCTATAAAAAGGCTCTCCATTGTTTTTCAGGGTTTGCTGCGGGTGGGGAGGGGAAGAGTTACCTGCTGGCTGTGAGACTTATGGGAGATAATGTGGTGGTGGAAGATGATACTAAGCTAGAAATCTGAGCCTTGAGTGTGCCTGGATATTGATGCTGGTGTGACCATCCTTGAGACATCTCTGTAGCTAGTTGGGGTAGGTGGAGCACTCAGATGGTGATGCTGCCTCAGAAGGAACTGGTGCTATAAAGAGTGTACTGCCCAGGTCCTTGACTGGTGTGATTCTGATTCAATTAAAATGTCAGTGTTTTGGTTAAGTGAACCTGAAGCCATTTGGTTTATTTTCCGAATTACACTTTAGCCTATTACCTGCTTCCTTTCTGGAATTTATTTTTTAATCTAAGCTGGTCTGTACTCTAAACTAACCTGATAATACCACAGGAACTGGTCCCACTTCAAGGTACACCTTTGTTATTTTCCACTGATGTTCAGACACAACATGGATTAACTGCAGGTGGTAAAAGGTGTTGCCCATTTTCTGACTCTTACATCTCAGTAGCAATATTAATGAATCATGGTATAATTATTTCCATGTTCTGTGAGATAGAATAAATTATTAGTTTTATTCAAAAGTTTTTTAGTTGGATTTAGACAGCTAAGTAATATAATTCAGTTGAGTTTGAAAGTATAAAAGTTTTCCATCTAAGTCACTTTGTCACTATCAGTGACGAAGTTACTCATAAATACTAACCTTTTTTTGGGGGGGAGAGGTTTTTGCTCTAGAGTGCATGCACTCACCAGAAAGACAGAAAGACAGAAAGCAAGAAATCCCCTCCCAGGTGGGACGGCCATGCTGCAATCCCTTCTCCTCCATTCTCCTCTCTGGGTCTTGGGCACGCACGCACATGTACCGGGCGTGAGTTTAAGCCACCAGGTCCAGGACTCGAACTGTGGTCAACTACATTGGAGTCCAGTGACATAGCCATTACGCCAACTGCTGGTCCCCCAGCTTTTTTTTTTTAATGGTTTTTGCCATTGGACATATGTGCTGGCTGGAGACAGAGAGGGGAAAGTCAGAAATCACCCCCTGGGGGAGATGGCCACATGGCAATCCCTTCTCCATTCTCCTTTTGAGATTTTGGACACGAACGTGTGCACAGTGTGGTTTTTCAAGCCACCAGGGCCAGGACTTGAATCTCAGCCATGTGGGAGTCCCACACCTTAACCACTATACCACCTGCTGGCCCCAGTAAATACCAACCTTTTTTTTTTGAGAGAGAGAGGGAGTTTTGCTATAGGGCATGAGTGCTCGCCAGAGGGAGAGACAGAAAACGAGAAATCGCTCCCCAGTAGGATGGCTATGCCACAATCCCTTCTCCATTCTTCTCTTGGGATTTTGGGCACACATACACATATACCTGGTGTGAGTTTCAAGCTGTAGGGTCGGACTTCGACCAGTCAGCCACGTAGGAGTCTAGCGCCTTAACCATATACTACTTACTGGTCCTAATACCAACTTCCCTCATGGCCAACTGTCCGGTTTGAGTCTTGGACTCTGTGGCTTGAAAAACACACTAGGTGCATGTATGCCCAGGTCCTAAGGGGAGAATGAAGGAAGGAGAGGGGACTGTGGTGTGGCCATATCCCCTGAGGGCTGATTTCTCACTTCCCCTCTCTGTATGCCTCTCTGTGGGTGCACATACCCTGTACCAAACAAAGCAGAGTAGAGAGCATTATATCAGTGACTTTCACACCTTTTTTCAGGAGTGCTGCAGATGCTGCAGTTATCTACAAAGGTAAGCTGCTTGATAGCCCGTATTACATCTAACTATTTGAAAATGCAGTCAAACCAGTGATCCTGAGAAAAGTGTCTAACTGCACTCATGCAAAGAAATTTGAGGATTTAGATGGTAGTGTAGTGGTAAAATGTGACACTGCAAGCCTGACCCTCATGGGATGGTTCCAGGTTTACATCTGCAGGCTCCCTGAACATACCAGGCACGTGTATGCCCGTGATCTGGGGCTGGCTGAGTAGGGATAGATAGTGGTGTCAAGATTCTTTTGGGGGTACTATGTGTGTCTGTCTTGCTCATGGAAGAAATAAACAAAATTGAGGGTCCAGCAGGTAGTATGGTGGTTAAGGCACTGGACTCCCCCATGGCTGACCATGGTTCATTTTTATTTGTAATAAATAAATAAATAAAACTATAGAAAAAAATTAAGTCTAACAGAGCTGGCAATTAAAACTTTGAATTGTTTATTTTCCTCCATCTCTGTGAGATTGGTATTTACAGTCACAAAAAATCCACAAGAAAATGGAGAAAAACGTGTTGAAGTGAATGATACTAAATATGTGGTAGCTTAAGCAAACAACTCAAGCCAGTGAGGCAGACATTCCAACTTAAACTTGCCCATCGCCAGTGTATGTCCTTCATACATTATGCAAGGATGTCATATATATTTAGTCTAATGTCGTCGATGTTTCTCATTTCAGTAATGACTGAAACTTTCAGAAAATCTCTTTGGGTGCATTTTACTAAACTTGATTACATTCCAGATTTTTTTTCCCCTTAACAGTTTAAACAGGATTGCTTCCAAAGAACAGTATTTATTGTTTTATGGAAATTCTGGGTTATTGGAAAAGTCATGATGCATTTTTGCACAGAAAAACATGTCATGACTTTTCTGATGACCCAAAAAATATAAGATGACAAATGGCAGGGTAGGAAAAGGACTCTTAAAACTCAATGCATTTATAGTCCTTGAATCTAATTTTGATTCTGAGTTGTGAATAATGAAAAGGAAGGTGGCAATACATTCGTAGGAGATTAGACTGGGTATCATCTGTAACCCAAGTCTTGAGTTGAAGAAACATGAGCTGTCAGACCCAACTAAGTATCACTTACCAGAAGCCTTTAGTATTTTTCATAAAAAATGGGCCCACTGGGGCTGGCAGATGGCATGGTCATTAAGGGTGCTGGACTCCCATTATGGCTGGCCATGGTTTGAGTCCCAGACCTGCTGACTTGTTTTCTCACTTTCCCCCCTCACTCTGTCCCTTTCTGACCGACTTAAAACAAAGTTAAGGGACCAGCAGTTGCCATAATGGCTGTGACTCTCAAGTAGTCGACTGGACTCCCAAGTAGTCTACTGCAGTTCGAGTCTTGGACCTGGTGGCTTAAACTCAGGCTGGGCGTGTGTGCATGCATGCCCAAGATCCTGAGAGGAGAGTGAAGAAGGAATTGTCGCATGGCCATCCCCCATGGGGGTGTGTGATTTCTCTCTCACTCTTTCTGGCAAACACATGCACCCTATAGGAAAAAACCTCTCCAAAATTTTTTTTTAAATAATTCTTTTAAAAAAAAAGGGGGGGGGCCCACTACTCCACCTCTGGTGCAGTCAGTAGTGTACTGGAGTACAGAGCTGGAAGCTACATGCCAACTTCAGTTTGAATCCCTGGTCCTGTTTCCCAAAAACTAGTCTGGCCTAGAATCCTAGAGAGCTGGAGGATGAGAATTGTGGCATTACAGAAACTTGAGAAGGGTCCTTTCTCATGTGTGCCCTACTGTGAATTTTAAAAATGGATAAAAAGATGGACTCTCTTGGGCCCAGCCTAGCAGTATACTTAGTAGTGGTAAACTGAACTGCAGTGTGGAAGCCACCTGGCTGATGGTGTGTTTGGATCCCCCGGAAACATGCTGGGTGTATGCGTGCAGGTCTATAATCCTGACATGAAGGTAAGAGGATTGGGGAGTGGCAATACCCTATTAGAGGTGAACCTGTCTGTGTGCACACATGTACCATCATGAAGGTATTTTTTTTTTTTTTAAGGTTTTGCCATGGGGTATATGAGCTCACCTTAGAGAGACAGAAGGAAAGTGAGAAAACACCCTTGGGATTTGGGGCATGTGCACACACATGCCTGTTGTGATTTTTACGCTGCTGGGTCCAGGGCTTGAACTGTGGTTGGCCATGTGGGAGCCTAGCACCTTAACTACCACACCACCTGCTGTCTCACTAAAATATTTTTTAAAGAGGGGGGCCCTCTTTCTAGTTTAATGTCTGAAATTATTTGTATGTCACAGAAATTGGGTTTTCCCTGACACTTAAGTCACGTGGATTTCTTTTCTCTACTTCTTAGCATCTAATAATATCGTGGTTCAAGTCCTGTTATTCAGACTCTATTTATATGGACTGGCTTCCTGGGATCATACAAGTATCTAAATTCTAAGACAATTTCCTCATAATGTGAAGCAAAGCAGATACTGAATCTAACATGAATTTTCTTCTAAAAAACTTAGTTCTCTCAATGTCAAAAGTAGTTTACACTTGGTAATGGCTGCCACAAAATAATATTTGGAGTTAGGATACATCACAAGATAATCTTCATATACAACTGAAAATATGGGAGCTTGAACATGGTCATCAAGACTTAAGACTGGGGGGTGGCAGGAGGCATGGTGGTTAAGGTGCAGGACTCCCACATGACCAACCATGGTTCAAGTCCCAGACCTGGCAGCTTGCTTTCTCTCATTGTTGCTCTCTTCAAACTGAAGAAAACTAATGAATAAAATAAATTCTTTTAAAAAAAAAAAAAGACTGTGATAGGTCCAACGGGTGGTATGGTGTTTAAGGTGCTGGATTCTCATATAACTGACTGTGGTTTGAGTCCTTGATGGTTTACTCTCTCTCTTTAAAAAAAAAAAAAAGTTGGGGCCAGCAGGTGGCGTGGTGGTTAAGGGTGCTAGGCTCCCACATGGCCCACCACGGTTGGAGTCCCGGACCTGATGGCTTGCTTGCTTTCTCTCTCTCTCTCTCTCTCTCTCTCTCTGGTCAAACTAAAAAAATAAGTAAATAAATCATTCTTAAGAAAAAAAAAAAAAAAACAATGGCGTGGGGAGATCTGGATTTTAACATGTTTGCATTCAGGCACTGACAGCACATAAAAAATGGGAACACAGTGGGACCAGCAGGTAGTGTAGTGGTTAAGGCACTGGACTCCCATGTGGTCAACTGCAGTTCAAGTCATGAACTTGAAACATGCTGGGCACATGTGCCCAAAATCCTAAGAGAAGACTAGAAAAGAAGGGATTGTGGTGTGGCCATCTCACCCAGGGAGGAGGGGATTATTTCTCGTTTTCTGTCTCTCTGGCAACTGCCTATAGCAAATATCTCCCCCTACCCCCCCACCAAAAAAAAAAAAAACAAAAACAGAAAAGCATAAGCCTGATCCCAACTTTTAGGGGAAGAGTAATGGTAGTTTAGTGTAACCAAAGCCCTTGTGTTAAAGGATGGAGATGTTTCATAACTAAAACAGCAGGAAAAATCTGAATCTTCAGGACTTGAATATAGGTGTCATAGGACAGCAGAAAAGAAAGTAGGGGAGGAAAACAGCTCCTGTTTCCTCTTTGTTGTGAAGGTGCCTAAACAATTTTTGAATCTCAGTTTGTGGGTTTGAGTACCCTTGGGTAAATCATGTCACTAGCTTGAGATCATTAACTTCCCACTAAATTTGGAATGAACTCGTTCCTTTCCCTGGTTACAAAGTCTTGACTGACCTGATCCCTACTCCTGTTAAGTCCTGACCAGTTCAGCCCTTTTGCAGTTAACTGGAGCATGCCCAGCAGTTTCTTACCTTGAGGCTTCGCACTTGTGATCTTTTTTTCTGTGAAGGATTCTTTATCAGTCAGATGTCAAAAAGTCCTCTCATGACCAAGTCTGAAGTGACCCTGCTGACACTATCATACATCCTGATTTATTTTAATAAACAGGTCTTAATTACAAACTAATAATTACTTTTTATTGCCACTTCCTTACCACATACCCACTAACCAAGTCATTTACCATTACATCAGCAGAGCTTAAACTGGAAATTGGGCAGATGGTAGATAAGTGCTCAGTACATATATATGAAGTTAATAAATGGAAGTACAGAAGGTACTCTCAAACCGAAAAGATTGGTGGTCATAAAATTTAAATTTTAAATTATGAAATACCAAATTTTTGGTAGGGATATAGCACTTGATACAAAATTGAGATGAATTACACTATAAGGTGGTGGCTTCTAAGAATCTGAACAAAAATAAACTTGGCAGAAATGCCAGATGAAAATGAAAATTTATATAAATTAACCCATCTAGTTTAAGGTATATTTGCTATGCTTCACTTAATTCTGAAGAAGGAAGACTATATACTTCCCATATTAATAAGTCACACCAAATAAGTAGGAAGAGTTTCAATAACAAGCCTGTAGATATATTGAAACCCCCTTTTTATATTAAAAGTTAAAATGAAAGACAAATCCAGACTGAACATAGTGACTGCAAAATATAATGCAATTTGAACACTTAAAATTATGAAAATATACAAAATCGATGGGCAACACAGCTAGGCGTTTTTACATTTTTTCATTATGAGGAGAACACTGAAAATTTCTCTACCTTTTATTCATCAGATAAATGATTTAAACCAAGTGTTTACTTTGGAGAGTCTTAAATTAGGACCTCAGTAGTATAAAAAGCAATAATTTCTCAGTCTGTAAACAGTAGTCTTGTTTTTCCTCCTTTCCTTATTTTTTAAATATCAATTTACCACACAGAAACAAAACAAAAAAACAACCATAAAAACCAAAAACAGCAGCAGCAGCAGCAATGGGTTATTTGGGAATTCTCTTCAAATACCAATGACATACAATTGCTGGGAGAGAGAGGGTGCTTTTTTACTCATGTAAGAATATATATATATATATATTTTTTTTTTCTTTTAACTGTACACAATTTATAGTTAATGACAGTTTCCAAAAGAACAGGTCGATAAAAGATAATTAGCCATTTCTGCATAATTTCATTCTTTTTACAATTATGTCAAAATATGAGAATTGGATCTAATGAAAATGCTACATTTAGTAGGAAAATCAGCAAACAAAAGAAGCATAAACTTCCATGTAACATTATTTGTCATTAAAACTAATAGAGGTGCCAGGTACTCCCAGGCAGGAGGCTGGTTAGGTAGACCACTAGAGTCACACACTGTCCCTGAGGACCAAAGCCAGCCCACTGAGTGTACATAAACTAGATTGAGCATGGTCAATTGACAGGCTTGTTTTAAAGAACATGTCTATTTCTATGTACAGTACTTTTTTTGGATTTTCAAAGTACCCCAACCCTCTACATGCATACACACAATCTTTCATCTCAATGAAATAGGCCATAGTTTTATGAAAAAAATGATGTATCACTAAATGAGATTCAGAATCAGAATTTTCAATTCATCTTGTTCAGGAGAGTTCTTCCTTTTAGGATGGGGTATCTGACAGCTGTAGCTACCAATTTATGTATTAAATAGTAAAATAGTTTTTTTTTTTTTTTAATTTAAAGAATTATTTAACTTTATTTATTATTATTTAATTTGTTATAGGGCATGTGTGCTCACCAGAGAGAGAGAGAGACAGAGAGAGAGAGTGAGAAGGCAAACTGCCAGGTCTGAGACTCGAACTACAGTTGGCCCTTTGGGAGTTCATTCAACACATTAACCACCATGCTACCTGATGGCCCTTCAAAATAGCCTTTGAGATTATTTTTGAGATTATTCATAGACTAGGATTTCCAACAAGTCTTATTTTGAACTGATAATATATAGTAATTTTTAAAAATTTTCTTGGATGTTGAAAGTTACTAATCCCTGGATCAAACTGAATTTATGAAGTCAAGATGAGGGGACAATGCAATTGCTTTGCATACAGAGATTTTTCCAGCTTTTTCCCAGTTACTCTTTAAAAAAATATTTATTATTACTTTTAAAATATGGTCAGAAAAAAAGAGAAAGTAAGCTGCCAGATTCGGGACTCGAACATGTAGGAATCCAGCGCCCTAACCACCACCCCATGTGCCGGTCCCTCTTTTGATTACTTTGAAATGAAAAGAATATCACATTTCTCTGGAGCAGTGTGTCTGAAAGAATCTTTGTAAAGTCTTTAAGACCAGGGGCTAAGTAGGTGGTGTAGTGATTAAGGTGCTGGTTTGCCACATGGCCAACCACAGCGTGAGTCCCAGATCAGTGGCTCAAAACTCAGATAAGGAGGCAAGGTGTGTGTGTATGCGTGCCCAAAATCCCAAGAAGAGAAGGGATTGTGGCATGGCTATCCCTGGGGAGAGGGGTGGGTGGGTGATTTCTTGCTGTCTGCATTCCAGCAAGCACACGTGCCCTATAGCAAAACATCTCTCAAAAAAAAGTCTTTAAGACCAATCCTCAATCACATGTGCTTGAAATTTCTAATCAAATTCATTCTTTTCTCTTACAGAATTACTAACTTTAACTGTAATTAGGTTACAAAGACTAAAAACAAGCAGGGATTCAAACACAAAAAAGTTATCAAAGCAATTGTATAAATGGTATCACATTTTCAAGAGCAATTTTTCTCTTCTATCAAATTAACCTCTGAAACTGTGGTCTTGGGGACCTCCCTCCAGGTGAACAAAGTAAACACCATCCTGGTATAATCCTCAAGTTTGAAGAAAATAGACTGAACATCAAACCCATTGGGTAATATTTCTTTTACCATCCTAAAACTTAAAAAAAAACCTAGGTTAAATCCATATATACATTTTTTCCTTCCCAATCCCCCACTTAAAAATACTAAAATATTAACTCTTAATTTTCAAGCATATATACGTGTGTATCTCACAAATCAATTGCAGTATGACTCAAAATCAATGGAGTAAGTATCAGACTTGCCTGCATAAATTATGTACACCTCTCTTCTTTAAAACAGTGATTCCCATCTTTCCCAAATAGATGAAAGACTGTGAACTAGTCCTGCAGGCTTACTAAGTGGTCTGCACTGCTTTCCCCTCTTAACAGCTGTAAATTAAAAGCTGCCCTTCCCTCCCTATCTGAGATCTAACTTACAGGAGCTAGTCTGGGGGATGTCTTGGCTATCCTTGTCTTAAACCAAAAAATGAGCACCTGTGGTCATGAGTGGTGCCCTTCTGTGGCAGGTGCTTTTATGTCAAGCCTCACCTGAAGCCCTTTGTGTACCTGCCTTGGGTACTGAGAGAGCCAAGCAGCTGAGGAAGCCTCAAAATGAACCTAACTACTGAGGAAAGAGGGCCTGCTCCAGAAAACCTGCTTTTTTCTGCTAAGGCTCAAGGATCAGACCCACTGCTACAGTGGGAGGGTCATTCAGCTGCTCTGAGGTCCATGCCTTATGTGTAGTTTCTATTGCTGCTTGGAAAATACCCATCCCTTCCCCCAGGATGTTTCCGATGATAAGAGGGAAAAGAAGGGGGGTTCTCTTGTTGCTGCCATATGCATATGAACATATATATAAAAAGTGGTCAAACCCAGATGAGGGTCCTGCTTCTGGTTTATATACAATAATTTAATCAGTTGTATATATTTAATACCTAAAAAAATTAATTCACAATCAAAGTCCTTCATGCATTTTTATGAGGAAGTTCTGGATTAAAATGATGGTAAACCAGATTTGCTTTTGCCTGGGAAAATGGTGTCCTTTTCTGCTGTACAGTCATCAGTGCCTGTGGTTCATACTCTTAAATTTTTAGTTTCTTTGTGGTCTCAAGTCTTTTTTTCAGCAGATCTCCCATTTCCAGAAGTGAGTGCAGATAACTGCTCTGCACTTTCCCTTGCACAGTCTTTGAAAATTTTTTCTCTTCCTACAAAGACGGAAACAAGAATAAGTGGACTTGTTCAAAAGTCATTCCTTCAGATAAATCAAAACTACCATTACCTTTGATCTCACTGCAAGCTACAATAGGACATAGTTATTTTCAAAAATGCAGATTTGTTTCTCTCTGTTTTTCACTGAGTCCCTGTTGCTTTAGCACTGTTATTCTTTCAAGTAAGGCAGAAGACCTGAATTTCTGATAATTAGTTTATAACTGAGAAAAAGTACAAATTTATTAATAGCAGTTTGGATGTAGAATTACTATTTTGAAATAAGATGTACTAAATTTGATATTGTGACTTGCTCAGTTACGTGAACACATCTGCTTTCTTTAGTCTTTGGTAATGTTAAATGCTCTGAGTCCCTTCTCAAAATAAGCACTTTGTTCAAAGATATAACATACTAAGCTTTACAGAAGAGGGGCTTACAATGTTTTAAGGCTGGGGTGCCAAGAAAGATTACATTCATTCCCTTCCCCAGAAAAATGTGGGTGGAGTTCTCAGGCTTGGGTAACCACTGCCCTGCCCTCAGACTGCTGGATGTGTTTCCTCTTCAGCAGAGGTGTAGGTCAGACAAACTGCTGGAAGGAAGCATTTTCCTGAGTTTCATCACAAGAGGAAATGGCTGGAAACAGATGGCTCCACCATTGCTCTCCAAAATTCTAAACCTACTCCAAGCCAGCAAATTGACAGTCACCAAAGAATCTATATTGTAAAGGCAAAGACTTTATAGGGAATTTGCCAGCAACTACCAAATTTTTAAGAAAGGAGCCTATCTCTGATGATTAGTACCATTCATTGCATACTTGCTCCATTCCCTTCCTTTGGCTTGACATAACTGTTACTGATGTAATTATTTCTTTTTCTTTCTTTCTTTCTTTTTTTTGGGGGGAGAGGTTTTTGCTATAGGGCATGTGCCTTTGCCAGAAAGATAGAAATACAGAGAGCGACAGAAAGTGAGAAATCAACCCCCAGGGAGGATGGCCACACCACAATCCCTTCTTTTCCGTTCTCCTCTCGGGACCTTGGGCATGCGTGCACATGTGCCCGGCATGAGTTTAAGTCACTGGGTCCGGGATTCAAACCACAGTCGACTACATGGGAGTCCAGTGACATAGCCATTATGCCAACTGCTGGTACCTGACGTAATTATTTCTGATACCTAGCATTCTCTCCTTTTTCGGGATACCTGTTTGGGGTACAACAGATAAATTTTACATCAAGGAGACTGTCCCTGAATCTCAAAAGTATGGCTGACTCCTAGTGCTAAAGTAGGGACCAATTCATCATGCTGGCATTAGTTTTTAATAGTAAAAAAAACCCAACAACCCCATAAGGTTATAGGGAGGAGGCAGGGAACGTTTTTGAAAGAGGAAATGAAGATAGGAAAAAGCTACCACCACTCAGCAATACAGCAAAAAACTACTACCAGATACCTTTTAATCACAAGTTTTATAAGGAAAAAATGATGAATTGAAAATTAACTTGTCTGGGGACCAGCAGATAGCAAAGTACTAGACTCCCACATGGCCAAATGCAGGTGAAGTCCAAACCCAGTGGCTTTAAAATCATGCTGGGCGCATGTGCGTGCATGCCCAAAACCCTGAGAGGAGAATGGAGAGAAAGGGATTGCTGCATAACCAACCTCCAACATGGGTGATTTTTCATTTTCCCTCTCTGTCTCTCTCTGGGAAGCACACATGCCCTATGGTAAAAACCTATAAAAAAAAAGGAAGAAAGAAAATTAACTTGTCCTGGTGGTAAAGACAATTTGAGTACATATATGTATATATAAACACTATTGATCACCTAGAATCTCTTACCTGTGAAAGAGAAGTATCTTCTAAAATAAGTTCTTCAAGTTTAAGTGCAATTAGATGTGTTTCAAGCCCTTTAATATGATCCACGACATTGGAAATTAAAGTCTGAAGCCCAGTAACATAGTCTTGGAAAGTGGTAAAGACAGGTGGCTGGGGAAAAAAGATAAAAAAAAAAAAGAGTTGAAATAGTATCAAGCATATATCCCATGTTTATAAGATGTCATGCTATAGAATTACTTAATCCTCTTGACAGGGATGGAGTCGGTTTTAGATACTAAGATACTCTCAAACCAAGTTAAATTTAATGGCCACCAAATAACTACTCACTCAACAATGATGGTTTAAGCTTTTTTTTTTTTTAAATGAGGCTTTATTTCACTCTGGGTAACTAGGGATAAGAAACCAATAGCAAATATCTTAGTTGATCATTATTCAAGTTTGGGCTGAGAGGCTCAGACACAGCAACTCATTCTCTAAGATGCTGTTGCTTAGGGGCTGATGCCACACAGGGGACTTGAGCTTAATGACAGCTCAACCTTAACAAGCCAAGAGGGCTTGGGTGCACTAGCAGTCCTAACTGGCAGTTCCTGATGTGGCCAGACTTTGTTTTCAACATGGGGTTAGCCAGTGGCAAGGTAGTTAAGGCAGCTGGATCTCGCATGGCCAACTATACAATTTTGGTCCCAGACTCTGGGGCTTGAAAAATATGCCACGCAAGTGTGCATGTGTGCCCAAAAATCCTCAAAGGAGGGAAGAGACAGAGAAGAGATTGCAGTGTGACCATCCCCCATGGAGGGGATGCTTTCTCTTTCTCGTCCTGTCACTATCTCTATCCACCAAGTACAAGTGCCCTCTAGCAAATTAAAAAAGAAAATAATAATCTCTTGACCTAAGCTCTATGACACAGTCAGATGCCTACCAGACTAGACTGTGGAGCTGGAAGCCACATGCTGATCCCAGTTTGAGTCCCCAGCCTTGTGGGTCTGAAAACATGTCAAACACTACCCAGGACCCTAGCTGGCTAGAAGACCAGAGGAAGGGTATCACAACGTTCTCTCTCCTCTTTCTCTCATGCGTGCACACACTCCCTCATGAGGAAACACACACACACACATACACACACACCAAAAATCTCCCAGCCCAGCTGCAGTGGTACTGTCAGAACTAATGTTGGAAGTCATGTAGAAGACTAGAGGTGAGATCCCAGGTGGACTTGAGCATGTTGGATGCATGTAGTGTCCCCGTGATCCTGGCTTCCTGAAGGCTTTGGCAGGGTAAGGTATTGAAGCATGTTGGAACCCTGTCAAGGTGCTTGTTTCTCTTTCATGAAAGAAATGAAATAAATAGGGACCAACAGTTAGCGTTAATGGCTATGTCGCTGAACTCCCATGTAGCCGACCACAGTTCGAGTCCTGGATCTGGTGGCTTAAACTCACGCTGGGTGCATGTGTACCCAAGATCCCAAGAGGAGAATGGGGAAGAGAAGGGGTGATTTCTCACCTCTATCTCTCTGTCTTTCTCTCTTTCTGGCAAGCGCATGTACCCTATAGCAAAAACCTCTCAACAACAACAACAACAACAACAACAACAAAAAGAAAGAAAGAAAGAAAGAAAAGAAATTAAAGAAATAAACTTTAAAAACATAATCTCTGAGCCAGCCCTACAGTTTAGTGGTAAAGGGAGCAAGATTCCACA